GGGGCGTGAGCGTGGAGTTGAAACGTCTGAGCTGTTCTGACATGTGTATATATAATGACGTGCTCATTTGGATGAGATGTATAGATGAGACGACCAGATTAGTATTTAATGATGAGTGATACGAGTTAATCAAAAATAAGATGATGACATAAGATACGAAGTCAAGCTTAATGGACGTTCAACGATCGGGTGGATCTTGGTTGGAGGGAGAGGCAGTGCATTGCCGCCGGATGTCATTTGCCGGATCGGCAACTGGCCGAGTCGATGATGCGTGCATCCGTGCATCCTCCCCAACCTTAATTCCCCAGTATAAAATCCCACCCCGCCGCCCCATCTCCCCATTGCGAAGGCAAGCAAAGTGTCAACCATTCCCTCGGTGGAGCAATCATGCCCCCGTTCTCTGTATTTGCACCCTCTACGGCACCTCATCATGGAGGCAGCCAGCGCAGCCGCTTCAGCGAGTAACACCACCGGCAGTCCCGGCCACGGCTGGCTGCGGACGACGAATCTGGCACTGGCGACGGTGGGGATCGCCGTGTGCACCCCGTTGCTGGTGATGCGGGTTTACACGAAGATTCGGATTATGAAAAAGTTCTGGTGGGATGATGGTGAGTACACTCTCAAGAACTTGGTCGGGTCGGGGCTGACTGTCGTTGTCGCAGTGTGCTTAATAAGCGCCTGGGTATGATGTCGCTGTTTTTACGTCGTGGTAACAGAGAGTGCTCACGCGCGATAGGTCATTTCCATGGCGACACAAGGAACTATCATCTGTGCGTTGCACCCTAATTCGTCTCTAGGGAGCCAGCGGGCACTAACTGAAGCAGACGGGTTCGAGCACGCGCACATCGGCGTGCATATCTGGTTTCTGACGCCGGACCAGATCAACACCTATCTCAAGGTGCGTCCGGCCTCCCCACATCCCCTTTTGAACATCAAAGTGCATCCACTGACCACGGAGGGGCAAAGGTCGTCGTCCCCGCCGCCACAATCTACATCTCCAGCCTAGCGCTGGCCAAGATCGCGCTCCTGATGCTCTACCACCGGCTGCTCAGCATGATCCGGTTCTGGAAGTACGTGATCAACGGGGTGGCCGTCTTCATCATCGCGTACAGCATCGCGCTCACGCTGGCGCTCATATTCGCGTGCCACCCCGTGGGCCGGAACTGGGACGTCACCGACACGACGGGCGGGTGCATCAGTCGGCCCGGGATCTACATGGCGACCGCGGTGACGAACACGCTGAGCGACGTGGTGTTGATTCTGATTCCCGTGCCGATTGTGATGAAGTTGACCTTGCCGACGGTGCAGAAGGTGGGGATCTTTGGGATGTTCTTGGTGGGGTGTTTGTACGTCTTCCCCTGGGTGTTGGGTTGGGGTATGCGGAGGAGGGGGTGGGTAAGAGGACAGGGTTGGCTAATGGGCTTGGACGGTAGGACAATCGTCACGAGCATCGTGCGCCTCGCAACATTATGGCCGCTAGTGACCTCGGTGGATCCGACGTATAAGCTTGCGTTGGCGAGTGTGTTCATGTACGTCCCGTCCCCCCTCTGATTCCTCTTGTCGAGGCGAAGTGCTAACCACCCATCCAGCGTCATCGAAGCCAACTTCATCATTATCTGCGGCTGCCTGCCGTACTTCCGGCAGTTCCTGCGGTTCCACTGCCCCTGGCTCATCGGCATCCACAGCTCCGCCGCCGAGAGCCACAGCCGGGGCTCCTCGACGGGCGAGACGCCCCCGTGCAAAGCGCGGAAGCCCGGGCTGAGTCAGTTGCAGGATGATATCGGGATGGCCTTGACGGAGCCCCCGCTGCCGCTGGAGAATGGGCGGGGGTATTTTTCGGCGGTTTGATTGCGATGCGAGTGTCTTGCTCTGGGCTTTATTTTTTCGGTTTGGGGCCGTTCTGGCTTTGTTTGTTTGGTTTTTTTTTTTTTCTTTCTTGTTTTTAGTTTGCGGTGCCATGTTCGGAGTGATACCCTTTTTACCCTATTTACCCGGTTCTTAGATTGATACAGAAGATGTATCGTATACTTTCTGAAGTGAAGTGTAAGAATACAGCGCCGTCGCATCTCCGTCCTCCCTGCCCGTGATAGCTAACCTAGAGCCCCGGCTGGAGAACGCTAAGAACAAGCCGGCGAGACAGTCGGCTTGACCACCGCATTCGTCGGGTTCGTCTGCGAGCACCCATCCACATAGCCCAACAGGAAATCATCCTCGGCCGCCTCGTACGCCGCGCCGCAGTTGGGGTCACTATCCCGTTAGCCTGCCTCTACCCCGGAACCCACTCACCATCCTAGTGGGATGGTTGAAAGGGAGGGAGGGGAAAAGGACATACCTCGCCCCACCCGACGCATTGTTGAAGTAACTGCAGATGTCATGCGACCAGCAGTCCTGCGTGTAGACGTTGCCGATGGCGGTGCCGGTGCATCCGGCGCCGCAGCGGCCGTTGCACGAGTAGCTTTCTTTGGTCAGGATGTACATCGGGTTGAATGTGAGGGGGGAATGAGAGGAATAACGTACTCGCCTCCCGCACTGTTCTCGCCGTAGTTACTGCCCACTACGCCGGTGTACGTGCAGCTCTGGCCGGCGCTGTTGGTCCATGATGCTGTCGCGGTGGCGCCGACCTTCAGGCAGGTGACGGAGCGTTTGTGGAGGGGGGAGGGGGAGGCGAGGGTGAGGGTGAGGGTGCTGGTTGCGAGGAGGGTGAGAAGGAGGGAGAGCATTTTGCTTTTGGATCTGGGATGGTTTGATGGGGGTGGAGTGAAGGGTGCTGTCTACTGGGTGTCTTGGGTATGGGAGGGTGGCTCTTATATACTGCTATGCTGCAGTATGGCGGTGCTGGACGCTGAAGAACTGCAACGGCGGGACGACATTAAGGTTGACGGGTATGTACCCCGTGTCGGGGGCGAATGGCATGCAGGAGCTCGGGGAATTTCTCGGACCTGTCAGGGGGTTTGTGTCTGTGCAGTGGTGGCTGCTTGGCTTGCAGATTGCATCAGAGGTCCTAAAATGGCGAGCGGAGGGGATGCCGAGGTGGATAGTGGTGGCCCGGGGGGTGCCTGGTTGAGGTTAGCTGGACCTGCTCCGCCGCGGATGATGAGGACTATAGTGTATAAGTCCTTAGAATATAGCTTCTTCTTCTGCAGAATCCGGGAGCTAGTCCTGCCTTCATATTGAGTGAAATGTGCACTGGCAGTAACTTGCCTGCTGCCGAGGTAATACTGGGATAGGGTTGTGTATATTCCAGCTGGAAGGTTTGTGTCTATATGCTTAGTAGAAGCCAAGTTGACACTAGGATAACATATCTAAACGAGACATTCCTCTGGATGAATCGCCTCCGACTACTACAGTCTACGATTCGAAGTCATAGACATGGAATTCTTGCAGGCCAGTCCATCCTCCCCTCGTACCTTCATATGATATGAGCACTACCTTATCGCTATCAGCTTATCTTATCGCAACCACGGCATGCACGTGATCTGCTGACTGATCCTCCCGCCTCTTCCCCGCTCACACGACCCTTTCGCCGCATCGCATCGCATGCAACAATAACCTGTTTACTTCCTCTTCTCTACTCAACTCAACACACCACAACACAACTCCCCTTTCTCCTCCTCAGTCTCAACTGTAAGTTCCACCATAAACCGACTCCCCAAAACAGAATATTAACCTTTCAAGCCCCAACAATCCTCAGAACCGCACTCAACCTCAACCCCGCTCCCCACTTCACCACCACCCCCCGCAAAATGTCGTCGCCCCCCTCAATCCTCATAATCGGCTCCCTGAACACCGACTTCGTCACCTACACGCCACGCTGCCCGCAGGCCGGCGAAACCCTCACCGCGACCAGCCTCACCATCTCCGCCGGCGGCAAGGGCGCCAACCAAGCCGTGGCCTGCGGCCGCGCCGCACACACCACCCCGACCACGCACGCCGCGAACGTCTACATGGTCGGCGCGGTGGGGGCCAACGACCCCTACTACTCCGCCCTGATGCGGCCACTCCTCGAAGGCTCCGGCGTCAGCGTGGCCGGCGTGACCGAGCGGGCCGACGCGAGCACGGGATCCGCGACGATCATCGTCGAGGAGGAGAGCGGCGAGAACCGGATTGCGGTTGTGCCCGGGGCCAACCATGTTGGGATGAATTCCGCGGACGAGGTGGTGCAGGGGGTGGAGGGGTTGGTTTCTTCTTCGCAAGAGATTCAGAAGGTGGTGGTGCTGCAGGGCGAGATTCCCCGGCAGACGGTCTTGGGGCTCCTGGAGCATTATAACCGGCGGGATGCGCGGGCGCATGTGGTCTTCAACCCGGCGCCGGTGTTTCCGGAGGGGATCCCGCTGGAGGCGCTGCGGGGTACGAGCGTGCTGGTGATGAATGAGACGGAGGCGGTGCTCATGGCCAAGGCGCTGGGGTTGGAGCAGGGGGCCGCGAATGAGAAGGACCCCGAGACGCTGGCCCGCGTGCTGGCGCCGCGGTTCCATGAGGCGGCCGAGGTGGGCATCGTGCTCATCACGCTGGGCGCCAAGGGGGCGTTCTTCTCGACCCGGTTCGGCACGAGCGGGTGCGTCGCCGCGGAGAAGGTGGCCAAGGTCCTGGATACCACCGCCGCCGGGGATACGTTTGTCGGGTACTTCACGGCGGCGTTTGCGCGGTTTGTGGCGCAGGGCAGGCGGTTGGAGGAGTTCGATGGGCTGGTGGAGGGCGCGGTGAGGCTGGCGAATCGCGCGGCGGCCGGGTGCGTGCAGCGCAAGGGAGCGATGCAGAGTATTCCCTTTGCTTATGAGGTGGATGCCGATGTTTAGGTGGGAGGTGGGCTGTAGGAATAGTACGGTGTACATTACAGGATTGTTGACTATTTGTGGTGATAGAAGTGTAGCGTGTAGCGTGTAGCGATTAGATTAATTCACCTAGACATATACCCTCAATATTCCCGTCAATCATACATGGACCCATTAACCCTCACCATGATCCCCAGCCAGCCATCAACGCAAGTAGAAGAAAGTCGACTACCCACTCTTCACGACCTCCTTCTCCTCCCCGACAACACTCGGCTCACTGCGCGCCCCCTCCACCTCCTCCCCCTCGTAATCCTTCTCATCCGTCATGAACTGGTCATTATTGAGATGCTTGAACCGGAACCAGAACAAGACGCCCTGCACAGCCAACGCAATCGCCGGCGCGGCCCAGATCCAAATAAGATAGGGGTCCTCGGTCACGGGGACGAGGATCTCGCCGAGCGCGCTGCTCAGCGCGGTCATGAACAGGAAGACGGCCATGACGAGGCCGCGCATGCTGGCCGGCGAGCGCGCGTAGGCCAGCTCGTACGCGGTGACGTTGCAGAAGATCTCGGACAGCGCGGACAGGATGGTGTTGGGCAGCTGCCACCAGATGCTGATGGGGGAGACGCCCGTCGCGCACGAGGAGGCGTAGTAGCCGCACGGCGAGGTCTTGTAGACGCGGTACTGCACGATGGCGCCCACCACGCCGCCGATCGTCGCCAGGAAGAACCCGAACGTGATGCGCGTGATCCGCCCCGGGTGGCAGTTGTACTTGTGCAGGAGCGGGTAGATCCCGTAGTTCAGGATGGGGACCGCCACGATGATCGTCAGCGCGTTGAAGTTGTTGAGCAGGTCGTTGGGGGCTCCGTTCGTCGTCATCGAGGCGCCCTGGTTCGAGAGCACGGAGCCGATGCCCCCGTCGTTCAGGTTGTAGATCGGGAAGTAGAAGAAGATCTCGGTGGCCACTGTTGTTCGCGTTAGTATAGGAGGAGGAGCGGTGGTGATTGGGGCTAGGACATACCGAGGGTTCTCCGCACATCGTCGACCAACTTATCCGACCAGCTTACGGTAATCCCCTTGGCCGCCAGGACGCTGGGCTTGGCGGCGTCGAAGAAGTTCTTGCGCCACACCTGGAACTTGTTCTCGCGCAGCGCCGTCATGGTGATCTTGACGGCCTGGCCCAGCTCCGAGTTCCCGCTGGGCGGCAGCCGGTAGGTCTTCTTGTAGACCAGGGCCAGCACCACCGGCAGGATGAAGTAGACCAAGCCCGCCAGCAGGAAGGCCAGCCAGTAGCCCACGTACTTCTCGGCGTAGGTCGTGGCCAGCATGTAGAAGGCGCCGACGTTGACCACCCCGTAGAAGATCAGCATCGTGCGCGTCGCCGTCATCTCCGGGTCGACGATCACCTTCTCCCCGGACTTGAGCGTCTTGGTGTACTGCTTCTGGTGGCGGAACTGGTCCAGCACCGTGGGCGCGATGTTGGGCTTGAATACTCCCGCCCCGAACGCCAGCATCAGCAGCCCGATGATGAACGGCGGCGCCGCGTGCGACTGGCCCTGCTGCAGGACGCTCGGGATCGCCCCGATGATCTGGATGATGTGCGCCACACCGCAGATCGCCACCCCGATGCAGATCGCCTTGTACCGGCCGATGTGGACGTCGGCCCACCTGGAGAGGGTGGTCAGTGAACACGAACGCAAAGTTGACCAAGGAAGAAGATCTTACCATCCTCCAAAGATGGGAATCACGTAGGCCAGGAACTGGAACAGCAGCACCAAAGCATCACTCGCCTGCAGTCCCATGTTCAGGGCACCGGCGGTCTCTTGCGTGCCCCGTGGGGGAGCACCAGCCCCGTTACCACCTATCCGGGGTTAGACTGGACCCCACTGAGACAGATGTGAGCAGGCACACATACCTTTGGGCAGCGGGAATTCGATGAAGTTGGAAAACACCGTCTGGGCACCGTAGTAGGAGGCACGCTCGGCGAACTCGACCAGACAGAGCGAGTAGGCCACGATGGGCAGGTTGGCGGGGATCTTGCGCAGGCTGCTCAGCTCCGCGTCCGTCGGAGCGGGATAGTCCTCGTCGTGGCCGATGGTCGCGGTGTCGACCTCGTAGTTCAACTTCTCCGGGTCGGGGTGGGTGGCATGGCTGATCACGGTGGTCACCTCGCCATGGTTGATGGCGTCGACGACCTGGTTTTCTGCAGCTAGGGCAGCTGGTGCTCGTCAGTGAGGGAGATTCACTGGCCAAGGAATAAAACATACGCATTGTGACAGGTGGCAATGGCTGGGGTCAGGGGGTGCGACACAGCAACAGCAGCAGCAGCAGCAGGAAAGCACAGGCTGCATCGTGGGTTGTTCTTATATCTCCATCGCTTGACCCCAGGACGGATCCCCGGCGGCGATATGGCCTTGCCAAGGAGGGTAGGGCGAATTCAAGCAATCTCACAGTCGTCGGACAGCGAGGGGGATGTAACGCTGCGCAGAGCCTGGGGGTGATTGCAGGAAGACCCAACAGCACTAGACCGGGGCTCGAAGCCTAGTTAGGGTTAGCTGATGCTTATCAGTCCGCATGCACAGGGCGAATGCACCAATCCCAGCACCGACACCGACAATGATAAGAGATGCACGGGAACTTGCGCCATCGAGCACATATTAATCTCTGATAATCGGCATTGACGCCATTCGTGTGTTGGTGGTGCACGCATCCAGATCGGGTGACCACCTCGGTTGCCTTCGAAATCATTGGGAGGGTGTCAATTGGTCGCCATGGCCTTTTCAGCTGGTGGTAAGTGTAAGTGGCTACTAGAGGCTGACACCCTGGTAGAATTGACATATCGTATCACTCATCGTGGTTTATCGAGAAGTGTTCAGGCCAAGAGAGAGGCAAAGGAGGTACCAAGCCGGCAGCCCCTGCCCAGCACACTTGGCTTCCCGCGAAGCCTTCTTGTCTTTGCTTATCTCTCTCGCCCAGCAAAACCACAACAACAACCAAGACAGAGGCTTCGCTTGGCGGATTACAGCCATACACGAGGTTTCCGTATTGAGCATCGACAGAAATCCCACTTTCTCACTCCCCTATCGCATGCGACCGTTACGAATCGCCACCGAAAATGGCTTGAGGCAGGATCCCCATCCTGGGTAACCGACAGTGGCCTGGCTGGCTCCGTCGTTCGCACTCGCACTTCCCAATCCTCATCCCCGGCAGATACATCGTGGGGAACGCACGACCGAGGGCGCCCATTCGAGTAAAACCTCCGCTCCTAGTTCCTGTATCTCGTGGTGGACGGTCGTGGGTCGGAACGTGGCGTGGCGTGGCTCTTATCGCCGCCCCTCGACCTGTTCGTGCAACTAGACTAGAGGTTTCCCACCTTAGAGCATAAGACTGTCGTATATACACTAGAAGGCGGCCACGGACTTCGATGCATTGATCGGCGAGTTCTCGACGTGCTCGATGGGTAGTGATTTTCTGCCCTATAGTCGCCACCAGATGTCATGGTGGGTGAATTGTGGGTGAGAGAATGTTCTCCGGGTCGGCTGGCGTCGGTGCGCCCGAAGTATGTGTGCTCCGGGCGGTTAATGACGTGCTGGCAGCTGAGACATGGCTACACACAGACAACCAATTCTCGTCACCACAAATAACTTGTCAGGCCATGAGGACCATTTGTGAATCTTGCCATCTTGTGGTCAACAGCTTCCATGCAGTATGGGGGTCTTCCAACGAAAAAAAAAAAAAAAAAAGATGTTTCATTCTCAACTACCTAGCCCGTGATACCCGCGACAGCAATCTAGCTATCAAGTCCAGGACAGTTCTCGCTCGTGACCGCAGTGATGTCGGTGTACGGAGAGGGATCCGTCCAGATGAAATTGAAGCTGCACGCGAGTTGCCAGTCAGTGACTGCAGACCTTTTCTAGATGCCCTTCATCAGACAAGTCGACCACTTACCTATCATCCGGATACGTCGGGGCATCATCATCCCCCAACTCCTCCACGATGTCGGTCAACTCGCCATGCTCCCAGCAGATCAGGATGTTGCCGTCCCCGGTATAGTTCTCCACGACCTTCTTGACGCACTTGGCGTCGGTTTTGGCACACGAGGTGTCGACGGTGATGCCCAGATCCTCTGCCAGCGGGAGCACGGTCAGATACGGGCGGTCTCGCTTGCCGTCTGTTGATGGTGAGCGAAAGGGACGATCGTACATCCATCGCTTACCGTGGATATGAGAGAAGAAAGGGGCTAGGAGGGAAAGACATACCACTCTTCGGGGTCTCCGCCATGATATACTGGATGTTGTAGCTGGAATCGGCCCCGAAGACGTTCCGCAGACACTGGGCCCGCTCCACCCCCTGCGCGCTGAGCCCGGTGCTCCCGTCGCTGGGCTTCTCGCCGTGTCGGATGAGATACACGGTCGCATCGGCCAGGGCAGTGCCTGCGAGGATGCACAACGGGAAGACGAACTGGACGAACATCATGGGTGATGATTGTGTCTAGGTGCAGTGGTGTTCAATTCAAACCTACTAGGTAACCTTTTGCTTCGTGGGACGGGCGGGATCGGCCGGATGGCGGACTGTAACCGTACTTATAGGATCTGGAAACAGGATCTTGTTGCACTCAACCACAGAATTCGCCCCCACGAAGCTCATGCATTGTCACCTGGCAACTCCGGACGAGGAGCATCGAGTCAGGGCTGCACGTGCGGGCGTTCATTGTCAACAATGGCTGTCGATCCAGGTGGAGGCCCTGCGGAGGTTGATTGGGGTATGATTGGTCAAGGGGGGTGAACCGACGCTTGGCTTGGAGCTTAGCTTCATTATGATTAGGTACCCAGGAGGCACCAGTGTACGTAGATCATGGTATTGAGTCAGGTTCTCAGTGACCGAGACTTGAAGATCGTGAGATGATTGGAAGTCTCAAAGAGAAGGAAAGCTGGAAAGATGGTGCGGGATTCGGATATATTCCGACGGGCGGGTCGATCCGTCAGCCCAAAACTTATCAGCCTGCCTACCACCGATCTATGAGTAAAATCAGTGGGTGATCCTACGCAGTAAGTTACCACCTTCTGCCAATGGGTTCAAAAAGATTCTGCTGAGTCAAACCTGTCAGCTCGTGCAGGCTGCCATACAAAACACGAGTCTCCCTGTCTAGATTCTGGGTAGCACGGGAAGTGGCCTGACGTATGAGGCATCGACACATCCCTCCTGCGCCCCCCCGGCATTGTATTCATCCATAGGTGTGACCAAAATACATGAAGAATTTAGACAAATTAACCGTCCAGCTTCACTTGAGTCATTATCGGATTTTGTACAGTAGGAGATGATCATTATGTCGTAACACCCAAAAAGAAACATGCAATTCGCCTCAACCAAGTCCCCCCGTCGTCACCGCATCCATCAACCACGCGCTGTCCGACCCCGCGAAGAATATATCAAAGTCCCACAGGTCCCCCATCATCCCCGGCATCTGGCCCGATAGTTGCGTCTGCTCGGGGTACCCGTATTCTGGAGGGAGCGGCTGACCCGGGAGCGGCGGCTGCGAGTCGAGTAAGCCTCCCTCGGCGGCTGAGGTGGTGGTTGTGGACTCCCCGACTCTCGATGCCCATGTGGCGCGCAGTCGCCGCACCATGACGCCCAGCTTATGGAACGGGTCCTTCTCGTGCTCGTCCCGCCGGAGACTGACGACCTGCTCCAGCATGTCGCTGATCTGGTCGGCGATGAGGATCGCATCCGCCGTGCGGCGGACCAGTCGCGTGTCCCAGCCGCGGATGTCGGCAAAGGTCAAACGCGAGAGAGTGACCAGGCAGTGCGCGACAAGAATGCTTTCGATGATCGGGAAGGAGGCAAAAGTGCGGATCGGCGTTGTAAGAAGGCTGTCAAAGAAGGAGCGAACAGAGGTTAGGCATGCGCAGAGGTGGTCGAGCCGCCAGGAGTCGAGAGCACCGGGGGTATCGTTAGTTTCGGGATTAGGGTGGATGAGAGCCGTCTCGTATAGTGTAGTTTCTGCTTGCAAGATATAGAATATGAGAGGGTCTGCCCGAGGTGAGTATTGAATCACACTATGGATGGATAGGTAAACCAACTACTACTGTTGAGGAGGGCGGAAGGAACGTCAGCTCGGAGCTGGGTGAGCTGGGTTTGTAAGCTGCTCATGTAGAAGGGCAGTGGTGCACGCGGAATGCCATTCGAACTTGAGTTCTCGTTCCACGGCCCCTCACGGATGCGCTCGACGAGAAGCCGGACACGTGCAAGATTTGCGAGGGTGGCGTCGTGCGGAGAGTCGGTGCTGGTGGAGAGAAGCTCGACGGACTCTGCCATATGAGGCGTCCATCGCATCACCTCCATGCGGCCAAGAAATTGAGCAATCCTGTGTAAAGAGATTAGCATGCGACTGAGGCTAGTGGCGAACATAGAACGAGAAGGTCACATGGGAGCATGAAGACATTTACGTACACTGAGCTGATCACGAAGCAGCCCAGTACGGCTCGCCGCTCGTTCAGGGTTCTGGGGCGTGGTGCAGGTTGCTTCGGGGCTGGTGGCACGAGGTCATTGCATACGGGGGGTAGCATGGCGAGGTCACTCCGGACCGGACGATTCAAGCCCAGTTCACAGATGAGCGCGGTGGCTATTTGACAGTACAAGACCATGATCGATTTTGGAGGGTAGCTTTGGAAAGAGATCCAGGCGATATGCACCAGCAATCCCTGCAACAGGTCCAGATTCTTGTCGCAGTCGACCATGGTAATCTGGGCCGCGGTCTGACGGATGTCGACGCAGCGCAAGGCCTGCTGCGCGGCATCTTTGGTCTCGGTGGTGAGAATGCAGCGCCAGAGAAAGGGAGAATCACACTCCAGGTCAGCCGGTGTAGCCGTACTGGGAATATGTAGAAGGGGAAGACAAGCCAATTTGTCCGTTCGGAACGAATGCAGCATTGCCTCGGCTTCCGCTGGGCTGGGCGGGATGATAGCGGTGGGCGGAGAGTGGCGCGGGCTAAGACTACCGTCGGACTCGATCCCCGTCCCCGTGTCGGGAGTACAGAGCGAATTTGCTGTACAGGTACGATCCGCGCCCTCTTGACTACCAGCGGAGACGGGAAGATGCCGGTCTCCTCTTGGTCCTCCGGGCAGCTGTCCGGATGATTGGAGCAAAGACATTAGCCCATCCATCTTCTGCTCCAGCTGAGCGGCCTTGGAAAGCCGCTTGGGACGGCGACGGCGCGATCCAGGACGACATTCCTTTCCCAAGCGATGACATCTGGAATACATTAGCGGTGGATTGATCCGTCGTCCGTCTGCAGATAATTTCACTTCCACTCACCTCTCACACGGGGAATCTCGACCCCGAGGGATGCAGCGAACCTTGGCGCGAGCACACGTACTACAGGCGTGGCCATACGGAATCGATAAAGGGGAATCCCCGTCCATGACAGACCAGAGGTACGGTACAGTACACGGACTGTCTACAAAATTGATGACCTGAATGGACTGAGTAGAAACATTTTGGGGGGATGTGTGATACCTCCTTCACTGCTGTCTGACAATGATGATGGTTACTGCGTGAACGGAGTTGGAGGGGATTTCCTCCCGAATGCCGAGCGGGGAACACCAACAACAGCAACAAGGCAACTGGAGGGAGCGGAACTCCGTCTTCATCACGTGACGTCAGCCTCTCAAGCAAGGAGGAGATGCAAAGTGTGCCAACTATGCAAAGTATGCAAAGCATGCAAAGCACATTCGGCCGTGCTGGCAGCGTGCCGTGCTGGGCAGGCCATTAGACTGTTGCCAAGTGATAGCCTACCGCGGTGACTAGTCTCCATTACGATAATCTCGATAAGAGTACATGGTCATCCGTTATGCAGTATGTAGTATGATCTGGCGCGGTGGCATGTAAGGGGTTGATCTACAGATGAGCAGTTGTCAATCATGTTGGTGTTATCTTTTGACTTGTTGGGGAAAATATCGGCATTGATTCGGCTCCGGGGATGGGCGCAGTAAGGCGACCTGTAGTTACAGTGCATAGGTAAGTTGTTATTAGATTGGCAGAGGCACGATTGGCAGGCAAGGATGGAAGAACGATCCGCTGGTGGCCGTTCCAGAAAACAGCCCAGCCTGGAGACCGGCCTCGGCGAAAGGGCTGCAGACGCCGAGAGGGAGAGGGAGAGGGAGAAGGAGAGGGAGGAAAACAAAGACCCGGGCCGACTTGACTCCGCCTCAAGGCTCCACGGTCGCACCACCAAACGAATATCAATTGGCAAACACTTCTGCGTAATGCCTTCACTGATAAGCCACCGCTCCAAATTGCAGGTTGGCTTGGATCGTCTTGTCGTCTCGTCTCTCCCGCGCGTCGTAGCAAAACATTAAGTAACAGAATCGGGAGACACGGCCCCGGCTCTTCCCCAAAATACGAGACCATCAGCGCTTCCCCTCATTTGTGTGAGACCTGCTCTGGAGGTTAAAAGGTTAAGCTGCAAGCGAATGGGGAAGAATTCCGCATGATGTGAGATCCATTACTCATCCCCATCCTACTCATAGGCTGGGTTGCGTGGTTCGCAAGGGGACGTGTCAAGCTGCAGTCCTGTCCTGCAATTAAACTTCTTGTGCGACCACGAAGTGGATGGATAGTGCAAAGTAGGGCGTCGATCGAAGGTGACGACTCCAAAAAACTACAGAGGAATGGGTTTAGCCTCAATCCTTTCAGGACACAAATCCTGGGGAAGGTTCGGCGTTACAGTGCTTGCTTGCTCACTGGCCAGCCAACGCCGCCTCTTAATAACTTAGTCAGAGCCATTGCCTAATGCAAATCGGGCCATCTGGAGTCAATCTTGGCTCAGCGTTGGCGCTAAGCCGCTTTCGACCGCATCTCCAATCCAACGTCATACACCCTAACCTGAATCAGGATTTTAGACGGTATGCCCTGCGCTTGATTGGCTGCTGCAGCGGATGGCGGATGCTTGGGCTCCACGTGGGAGGCAAAAATCGAGCCAATCTGGCAAAGTCTCCGAATTTCTTCTTTCCGCCACCAAATCTTCTTAGTCAAGGTTTGCTGGTCCCGTTGCCTGATCCGGATTATCACTGTATCAGTTCTTGCCCGGATTCATCCGACCGTGTGCTTGGGCTGCGGTGAAGCCTGATCGTCCACCGTCAGCGGTACTGGCCCGGAAGGTCATCGACTCGAGGAAGAGAGAGGAATCGAAAGGCAACACAGCGCAACCACGGCGGAATAATCATCAATCCTACCTGGCGGGTCCTGCAGCCTTCCTCCCACCGGAGCCCTCCCAGACACTTCCCCCCCCCCCGCTGTCGCCGCCCATTATTATTCAAAACCCGTTTGGCTTCCCTCTCGCCTGCCACTTTTCTACTGCCTTCGTTTCCTCTTCTCTCGTCTTCTTCCTCTCTCCATCCTTCCTATCCATCCTCCCCATTCCCCCCTTCCTTCAACAACAGCCATCAGGCATTTGGTGCGACCTGGGCAAAGTCGAATTCAACTTCACCTTTTCCCCTCTCCACCTTCAGCCTGTATCGTGATTGTCTGACATTTTCTGCATATTCTCGTCATGGCTTACGGTGACGACATCGTTGGGGACCGCAAATCCCAGTCCGGGATGGACTTCGAGAACGAGAAGAAGGGGGATCTTTACTCCCCCCAGTATGAGGGCGATATGGTCGACAAGATGAGCGACACGGAGCGGAACATTGTCGAGGCTGGCATTCAAAAATACAACCGTCTGGGCTGGAAACGCCTGACGGTAGTGATGATTGTCGAGGCCATTGCCCTGGGTAGTCTGTCGATTCCCTCCGCCTTCGCTACGCTGGGGATGGTGGCCGGTGTCATCACCACGGTTGGCCTCGGATTTGTTGCCATTTACACCAGTCACATTATCGGTCAAGTCAAGCTCAAGTTCCCCGACATTGCACACTACCCCGACGCCGGCCGCCTGATGTTCGGTCGTTTTGGCTACGAGATTATCTACGTCATGCTCGGTCTGGAGTTGCTCTTTCTGACTGGCTCGCACTGTCTGACCGGTACTATCGCCTTCATCGACATCACCGAGAGCAGTGTGTGTTCCATTGTGTTTGCTGTAGTCTCCGCCATCCTCCTGCTTCTCTTGGCCATTCCGCCCTCATTCGCCGAGATGGCCATTTTGGGCTACATCGATTTCATCTCGATTATTGTCGCAATCGGTATTACTATGATCGGCACTGGTGTTGAGAGCACCAACCAGCCTGGGGGATTGTCGGCGGTCAACTGGTCTGCTTGGCCCAAGGACGACATCAGCTTCACCGACGCTTTCATCGCCATCACCAACATCGTCTTCGCCTACAGTTTCGCCCTGTGCCAGTTCTCCTTTATGGATGAGATGCACACTCCCAAGGATTACATTAAATCGATCTGGTCCCTGGGTATCATCGAGATTGTCATCTACACCTTGACCGGTGCGATCATCTACGCCTTCGTTGGCCAGGACGTCGCCAGCCCGGCTCTCACCTCGGCGGGCCACACTCTTAGCCGCGTTGCGTACGGTGTCGCCCTCCCCGTCATCTTCATCAGTGGTTCGATCAACACGGTGGTGCTGGGTCGTATGATCCACGGTCGCATCTTCAAGAACTCGCCCATCCGCTTCATCAACACCAAGATGGGCTGGATCACCTGGTTGGCCGTGATCACCATCATCACCGTGGTCGCCTTCATTGTCGCCGAAGTGATCCCCTTCTTCTCCGACTTGCTGTCCATCTGCTCCGCCCTCTTCGTCTCCGGCTTCACCTTCTACTTCCCCGCGCTCATGTGGTTCATGCTCCTGCGCGAGGGCAGCTGGTTCACCCCGAAGAACATGATGCTGGGTGCTCTCAACCTGATCTGTCTGTTGATTGGACTGATCACTCTCGGAGCGGGCACCTACGCCAGTGTGGACGATATTGTAAGTTCATTGCCCTTTTCAGTTTCGACTTCCCCTTGCTAATTACTCTCCAGGTCAACAACTACAATTCAGGCAGTGTTCGTGGAGTCTTCACTTGCGCGGCCCCCGAATAAGCGAATCCCTCTCATCATCATTTCTGCTAGCCGTCTCGACCTAGACTTAGCGTTGTTGCATTTTCTCTTTTTCCTTATTTTCGATACATATTGGCGTTGCAGGCCCGGGGCCTGTGGCGACATTCCTTGCATGGTGTTGTTGTGACTCTGCGAATACCCAGTTTGCGGACTGTATATACGTTTTATCTTTTGGACATGATTGTGAATATGTTGCATCTGATGTACTATATGTCTATGATTATGAATATATATTATAAGAGCGGATACTCTTCTCTGATTTCTTTATCTCCAGTGTAACGGTGATCGAGTGAAATGAGGGGGGTAAGCAGACCAAGCATTTGGCTGTGCCCTGATGTCATGCTGCTGCGGGTTGATGTCAATCCGGCCCGACCGGAGCAGAAGAGCGAGCATGAAGTCAGCGGGGGAGGTTTCCCTCGAGTCAGATGGATGGGGTACTCGCGGGGTAAAGTCCGAGGTGTGCCTCTTCTCGAAGATGGAGGGTATTTGGTATTTCCGCATGCGAATGCTTGGTTGGTTGCTTGGTAGGTGTTCCGTGGACGCGGTGGGCGGCCTTAAGACGGGTAGAGTTCAAAGCACAGCCCGGGGTATATATAGAGTCCAATGCCGTCAGGCAGACATCAGTAGATCAAGTGTCTGCTGACCTTTTCTTCGTATCTAGTACTCATATCGATAGCAGTCTTAAGTTGTAAGACACTTGTGAGCTGTTTTAGTTAGCTACTCCGCCTTACTGAACTCATGGGAAATCCGGCTTCTTCAACCCGGTCATGTGATGTGATGTGTCAGATATAGACTTGTTCCACTCTATACATCATCCACATAAGGACGACCCCTTCTCATGTTAACAGCGTTGCACCCGCTAGTTAGTGCTATCTCTTAGAACACCCTCTATAGCTTCTTCAACCATTCCTTTCGTCTCGCAGTTTAGATCCAGAGTTCCAATTATTTAGTTGATGCCTGTCTGAGTTAACAGCATGAGCCAACACCCAAGAAGTTGTTCATACAACCGAGAAAACAAGCTCAAGTCTTCCGGAACTACCGGGAGCGCCTCCGCATTGCCCCCTAACCTCTGATGCCTTCCCGCGGGGCTGCAGCCACCAGAAATCCATCTCACTTTCCCCCAAGGGTCCAGTAGCTCACTGATCGACGTCCACTAGTCTCCATCTCCCAAACACCACCAATGACAACGCATCTGCATCCATCCGATGTCTCAAGCTGATCTATTTCGGTATCAGGCCGCCATCTCAGGGCTCTGCATCTCAGCGATGCTGTCACAACCAGTGCTATAAAGCTGGGTGTCTACCACAACATTGCTGCCGCTGCAATCCAACCCATCATCATCTAGAACAACATTAACCACCCATCTTAACCCCTCTTCCATCCCTTCACCCATCACAATGAAGACCTTCGTCGCAGCAGCCACCTTCCTAGCCACCGCCCTGGCCCAGAACGCCGCCATCGGCCTCCCCAAGGCCGACCAGACCGTCCAGCCAGGACAGAGCCTCACCGTCCAAGTTCAGCGTCCTGTACGTTTCTCTTCCCCTTACCCCCCTCTACCTCCTCCCCCCCAATGCACAGACCTAACAGCGATAGAACACCATCACCGGCTCCCAAGAAATGGCCGTTGCCATCGGCTTCCAGTCCTGCGCCAGCGGTAACTGCTACGCGGCCGACGAATACATGGGCACCATCCTCTACAACGGCGCCTTCAACCCCGTCTACCACGAATACTACCTGCCGCCGTACGAGAACTTCACCGTCACAGTGCCCGCGTCGGCGGCGGCGGGCCAGGCGGTCATCGGGGTGGCGCATGCCACTTTGGTCGGGGTAAGCATTCTTTTTCTGGTGATAGGTTTGGACTGATCAGAATGCTGACCGTGTGTGATGCAGGCTTCCGCGGCCCCTTACTTGGAGGTTTTGAACCAGACGGTTACTGTTGCTTAGATTGTTAGATTGGGGTGATCTTGGGGGGTGCGTGTATATACTATTCGTGGGTGGTGGTTCAAGTTCGCTTCTGCTGTTGAATTTATTGTCGTTCTGTGTGTAAACGATGACACGTGGTAGATTGTAGGTTGTGGTGCTGCTGCTGCTTCGGAGTTGAGAAAGGTGGGCAAGGGGGACGTGTCGGGTTTGCATTAGAGCGGCTTCGGCTGCGCACCTTGCCCTGCCTTTCACCAGTGATGCAGTCAACATCGCAGTAAGCAACTTGTCGCAACAGAAAAGAACATAGATTCTGTAGACAATATACACCGAATAGATAATAAAAATATGCGTATCGAGATTATACAGATTATGCACGAACACATAGAGCGTGGTAAAGCAGTGCACTGGGAAACCGATTTCTGGAGCAATATTGCGATGTTCGCATCTCTTATACCGCCAGCTGCCAGTATGCTGGACCGAACATGCCCTGCCTTCTACATACAAGTACTTAAATAATAGAGACAACATCTACACCAATCTACTTTATACCCAACATGTAGAAACTATCTACTCTATGATTGTCAGTGCACCACCTACACCATTTACGAGCCTAGTAGTAGCAACTGTTCATACCCGCACCATTTACGCAAGAGCTAGATACGCAGTATCGAACCACACCAAGTACCAAAGCACAAGCTTTATTTCCCTAATATTCACATTCTGGAACAACTCCTTCTGGAAACATGATAATTTTCCACCCCCTTTCATAATTCATAAACACATTTCAAGTCATTTTTTCAAAACATAAACCAATCTCAGGAATCTCAAAATAAATCAATCAAATTCCAAAGCAGAACCACGTTTAGCAATCGTTGTATCCCTTCCAGCAGCAAGAACCAGCTCGACGATGAGGTGACAACAGTCCAACCGGGGTTGTGTTCTCCTGTCGTCCCGTGGAATAGAAGGCTTTTCGAGTTTTTCGTCCTGGTAGTAAGTGGCAAGATTGAGTTAGCTATACCTTCATGTCATCATCTCGGGGGGATATACTTGTCGAACATACCATACTGACTGAAACACAAACTAAGAATCAAGTCAATGAGGTGATGACAGTCCAACCGAGGTTGTGTTTTCCTGTCGTCCCGTGGAATACAAGGTTTTCAAGTTTCTTCGTCCTAGGGACCAGGAGCAAGGTCGATTCAGCTTCCATCTGCTTGTTGTCATCTCGAAGGCATATACCTGGTAACATACCTTCCTTACTGAAAGACACACCAAGAACCATGCCGATCAACGAGGTGGTAACAGTCCAACCGGAGGTTGTGTTTTCCTACCATCCAGATGAGACTCCAACCAGCTGTTGTGTTTTCCTGCCACCCAAATGAGAGTCCAGCCCAGGCTGTGCTTTCCTGTTCCATCACGGTGCAAAATCAGACGGCGCTGGCGGGGTGAAAGCTGGCGGGAACGAAAGTCAGTTCAGTCAAGTCGCAGGCTCCCGAAAGTCCCTCACCATCACAGCCACCACCAAGACACATACACCCAGATACAGACCCAGACGCATAGAAAAAGGAAGAAGGCGACATACTTGTACATGAGGTAGTAGTGCCCCATAGCATGGCTGAAGTATTCCTGGGTCGCGTCGCGGGCGATGAGGGCCAGGCGACCCCACTCGTGGACGTGGAAGTTGGCATAGGCCACGTTGAGCAGGTGGTCGACGAAGACGACGCGGTGGAAGAGGGCGGCGTTGCGGAGCAGGTGCTCGAACTGCGAGCCGGGCTGCTCACAGAACGAGGCCTGCAGCTGCTACTCGCGGAGCATGTAGACGGCCAGGTCCTGGTCGGGCCACTGCAGCGCCAGGTTCAGCACGCGGTAGCCGTGGGTGCCGTACATGGCGTCGGGCAGATGGATCAGGAAGTCGACGACGGCGAGCAGCTGCGGGTCGAGCGGCCGCCGCGGCTGGTTGAAGTCGGACAGCCGGTCCCACGAGTTGTGGTACTGGCGGCCGTCGTGGGCTTTTTCGATCAGCGCCGAGATGGCAGCCAGGCACGCGGTCTGATGCTCGCGGTTGTGGCGGCCTGGGTCGGCGCCGTGTGCAAGCAGGAGCTTGACAACGTCCAGGTAGCCTTTCTGCGCGGCCAGCGTCAGGGGGGTCAGATGGGTGCGGTTGCCATCCTGGCGCCAGTAGAGGTCGGAGCGCGCGGCGGTGCGCAGCGCCCAGTCTCCCTGGCCGGGGACCCGGGGGCCCCAGCCCACGTTAGGGTTGGCACCACAGTCGAGGAACTTTCGCGCCAGCATCTCGTCCCCGCGGTCCGCGGCCCAGAGCAGCGCGATGCCCTTGGTCCTCTGCACGTGCATCTTGTAGATCTCGTCCCCAAAGAAGCTGTGAAACCAGCGGTTGGTACGGAGGAGTCGGCTCAGGCCATCGTCCCCAAGCTGTGTTCCGATGTTGAGGAGGACCTCCGCAGGGAGTTCAGAAAGATGCATAATCACGGATGGTGGTCAAAGTAGATAGGAGAGTATGTTAGATAATGTGAGATGGATGATTGCTGGTGCGAGATGGATGAAAGTGGGGGGATGTGGATGAGAGATGGTGTGTGGTGGATGAAAGTGGGGGGATGTGGATGAGAGATGGTGTGTGGTGGATGAAAGAAGGAGGAAGGAAGAAGGAAAGAAGAGGAAAGTCTTGAACTGTAGATGTGAAGATATAGACGTGACCCTAGATGCACGTGATCTGATATCTTGAGGTTATTCACAGGTAGTCTACCCGGGATGCGTCAGCTCATGTCTGGAAATCTATTCAGCCAATTTCCTGAATAGCTTCAGAGAAAGTTTAAATTCTATCACAGGATATTTGAGCCGGGGCTAGAACGTTCAGTGAAATAAGTTTTTTGATATGTTAAGCAGTGAATGTCGATGAAGCTGAGACAGCTGAGTCATAATCCTGCCAGAGATTGCGAAAGAATAATCACGGAGACAGCAAGATTAGTGATGCGTATATAGCCATATCCACAGTGATCATGAACACCTCAGGCCCATCAGGACTAAGTACCGTTGCAGACTAATATCAAGCCATATCAGACTAGATGGCATATCGGAACTCGCGGTTCTCCCGGTCTGTCAAGTCCATGAACTCATGATTCTGCTGCACAACATACGCCTCGCCCGCGGCCTCCTTCTCCGCGTCTCGCTTTCGGTTCTCGCGTACCGACACCCACCGAATGAGACACAGATCCAGCGTGATCAGAACATACAGCACGACGATGGAGATCTTGGCGGGGAGATACCGCGGGGCATCTTTGGCCTGGAAGGTCTGCGGGGAGATGATATTGCCCACCGTGTAAGCGACGGTCTGGATGCACGAGACGGTGATCTTCTTGGTCGACCCGGCCACGTTCGTACTGGTCAGACCCAGGATCGTCGTCCATCCGATGGGGATGCCCCCGGACAGGTAGTAGCCGATCAACGCGGGGGTCTTCTCCGTTGTGGCCATGAGAATCGCCCCCACAATCGACGGTATGTGCCCGACGATACACCAGAACAGCCTCTGCTCCGTCCTCATACTCAGATACGTCAACCCAACCAACACCACAACCTCATACGCCCCCAAGGGCGTGACCAGCAACAAGCTCTGGCGCGACGAGTACCCCATCCCCGTCACCAGAATATTTCCGAAACTCGTGGCAATCGAATTGGGCACATTGGCCGCGAACACCCAGAAGGCATACAACCAGGTCAGGGGGTCCGTCAGCGCCTCGACGACCTGTGCCTTCTTGAAGACCGTACTTCCGATGCCCTGCTCGTTCCCGCGCAGCCGCTCCGCATGCAGCGCCTTCTCCGCGGGGGACAGAAACCGCGCCGTGACGGGCGAATCCGGCAGGAGGAAGAGAAACACCGCACCGACGAGCACGGTGAACCCGCCCAGCACCAGGAAGATGATCTGCCACCCGCGCAGCGCCGCACTGTCCCCGACATGCACCGCGATCCCGTACGCGATGTACCCGCCGAACATCTGCGCGAACCCGCACATGGCAAACCATATCCCGACCCGGAAGGCCTGCTCCTCCTTGCGATACCACTGCGACGTGAAGACCACCCACGCGGGCACAATCGCTGCCTCAGCCACCCCCAGAAACGTACGGCAGACCATCAGCGCCGCGAACGAATGGCACGCCGCCATGCAGGCGAGAATCGCGCCCCAGAGGACCACATTGACGGCGACGTAGCGCGCCAGAGGGAAGGCCTGCAGCAGTCGCACCGTTGGGAAGCTGAACGCCAGCTGCCCGAAGAAGAAGATGCTCGAGACCCAGTTGTACTGGTTGCCGTGCAGGTGGGCCGATTCCCGCAGCCCCGTCACGCTGGCGTAGCTGATGGCGATCTTGTCGAGGTACTGCAGGAAGTAGACAATGCAGATGAGCGGCATGATGTAGAGGTCGATTTTGCGGACAAGTCGTCGCGCGGTTTCTGGGTCGAGGGTGGTCGTGCTGCTGTTGGCAGCGAGGAGTTGTAGGGCGCCGTCGTGGGATTCATCTTTGATGTGGGCGGTGGGTTGTTTGGCTGCTTCGTCGGGGGCGGACTGGGGTGGACTGGGAGCCATGTTGATGTGTGCGGTGAGAGATTTCTAGAGAAGAGATATTAGTCTATGCAAGTTGATTATATAGCAATTGCGCTTGCTGGTGCGCCATGGTGGTGGTGAATCACGTCATCCTTGGTATCGGAGATGTAACCCAATGATTCGGTTGATAAGCATGCAATGCTGCATGAAGATAGGAAGAATCTTTAATGCCGTGTCCCACGATACTGAAGCCTTGTGGATTTACTTTCAGGAACGAATTGCTCTAATATACTGCTTTTGCGATGTTACTTATTACGACATGACTACATCGTCACGCTACAGTTTTTAGATTTGGACTATGGAGAGGACTTTTGTCATCGCTTTTGGATCGTGGACTTGCTATCGATATGCCGGTTACTCCACAGATATGAAGTTTATGTTCAATGCTCGAGGCAAGTGGCGATGTTTGAACAGTGGGTGTCTACGTCCCAGTGATGACAAACTGGGGTTCACCTTAAAAATGTTACGTTGGAGTTCGATTACCATGTCCTTCGCTGTCCGCTCGGAAAGTACTTCAACATCCCAAAGACTTGAGCAGGAAAGAGTACCCTGAGTGTTAAATGTTCACATTTGACCTCTAAGAACCTTTCACCATTGAAAACAAATCTCAACCACAGCCCCTCCTAGTCTTTCTCAAGCACACCGGCCCCCCAAAAGACCAATCACCTCCAGTCCCTCCCCTCTTTCTTCCACCTTCTACCGCCAGCACTCTCTTATAGCTCCAATGAAAACGTGGGGAACAAGGAAGAGGACCCCCTTAGAAGCTGTTCACGCCACCTGAGGCACAATTTTCGAAATGCAGGGTTGGGCCACAGTAGGCGCCGGAATCAAAGACGCCTACCTTGCCAAACTTCAGGTAGCCGGCATAGCTGCCTCCATGCTTTAGTGACAGACACTGTGTGCCGCAGACAGTGTTGCCCTCGATCGCGGAAAGATAGTGATAGATGGCACCATGGATGGTCTTCTGCTGGGCGGTGGTGTCGCAGTTGCGCCCGGTGGCATGGAACTCGTACTGCCAGCCGTCGATCGTGCCAGAGTGGAGGCTGCAATCTTTATGTTGGGACCACGCCCAGGCCGCCCCTGCAATCGCCGCGCTCCAGCTGAAAACAGCCCCTGCAATAGTCGCGCACTGGGCCATGCGGGAGAGGGTGCTTTCACAGACCTGGACGGGCTCACGGACGGCCAATTTATTGATGGCCGTGTTGGTGGTTTGCTCGTAAGCCGCCTCGAGGACCGGGGCAGCCGAGGCTTCGGCGTCATCGAGATCGTAGGCAAACCAGTAATCAGGCAGCCGCTGCCCGTCACTCAACTGTACGCCATTGCCATCCGAAGGTGGCGTAGAAGGCTGGGCCGACGATAGTCCAGAGAATAAATTTAACGTCAGGATCGAAGCCTTTATAAGCAACATAGAGCCAGCAAAGGGAGGTGCCCAAAATTGTGAAACAACAAAAACGAGCAAGGCGTGCTTCAGACACCAACATGGAGCAGAGTCCGGGAGATTGAACAGAGGGTAAGAGTGAGATGCGATGGAAGGATAGCACAGAAGTACAGCCGAGAGAAAAATGGAGCCTTTTATACTGCTTTGTATGACGCTTCCTTTCTTTCTCGATGGGTAAGGTAAGTTGGAAGTGCCTCGAGAGTCTCCCTCACCGGTGAATGCAAGTTAATCCCTCGGCTGATACTTGCTGCTTGCTGTCTTAGATTTTGTCTCACTCAAGCTCTCCAAGTCTCCTCGAGAGCCAACCCCCCCCCCCTCCCAACGCTGGCTACACAGATTGGCTACTGGGTACACTATATGGGTACCTAGTAGCCAAGTGTTCAGCTCCACGCAAGGACCCACCCAGAGTGCGCGGTTTTTGGACCAGCAGGTTCCGATGTATATTGATCAGGCTCCGGGCCGTTGAACCCATGAGACCCCTAACTCCTTACTGTCTGCCAAACGACTTGGCTGTCGGAAAATGCGACGCCTTACCCGGGCCCCGCTGGGCCCCGCCCGGAATGGTCCCGCGGTCAACATACAATACCTATTTAGGAGCGTGCACAGCTGGGCCTGTGTACAGGTAGGCTAACCACAGTACCTAGACTAAATGTGTTGGTCTAGCATTCATCACCAATGAAGTCCTCCATCCAGCTGCACTTGATCCCTGACCCCACTCCGACCCAGGACCCTAGGGCCCTAGGACCCTTAGGCCTAAAAGCAAAACTGTCGGCCACTCGCACTTAGGGCAAGAAAAGAGCACTCGGTGTCGCTGCTGCAGTCTACACGACCTGGCGTTGGCAATTACGGTCCTCGATGTATATTCTGTTATCGTCACTCAAACTATATCTCTGCCCCTGTGTAAGGAACTTTTACATCTATCTATTGGTGGCCAAAGCGCTATTGGTGGCCAAAGCGCGCCGTTCGAGGATTCCCCGCCGGAACGCCGGGGAAAAGTCGGCCTGAAGGCGCTGTGCATCTTAGGGAAAATTAAACCAATAAGTCAACTTACTAGCAAGTCTACTAGTGAATCCACTAGACAACTGATCTATTGATCACTACTGATTGACAGTAATTCTCCCGACTTAAATTTCACCTGCCGATGTAAGCTACTCGCACCTGCCTGGTGAACCACTATTGATGTACGTACCGCAATCGGTGTACAGAACACAGTTGCATACATACTTCATAGGGTGCCAAATAAACGTCAGAGTATGACTGGATTCAATAGATCCCGGTTCGCTGGGTTGATCACAATTTTCTAGTAATGTTCGCATGAATAATTCTTCCTACCCGTAGAGGACGCAGTAGACGCAATACAGGCCCAGTGATTGTGAAGCACCAGTCCCACTAGGCGGCAACACATGACACAATGCTTCGGCCTAGTACGCTTGT